CGAAGAAAATAAATAAATAAATGAATTGCAATTTAGGCATTTGAAATTTTGTTTGTCGTTTTAAAGCGGAAAGTGCTGTGTTTCGTTCGAAAATTGAAATGAACTTGATTGTGGAAGGTTTAAAGCGCGATTGGCGCACGGCACATTAGGTCGGAGCCTTCAATTTAATGACAAGTAATTGTTGGTTCGAGATAATGATTTTATGAAGTGGAGGTTGTAGGCGTGATGAAAAGTGCTAGCCGTTAATGATTACCATTGGCTTTTGATTACTTTTTGATGAAGACTAAGTTGCGGTAATGAAATTAACAAAATGCAGCATTGAAGAATCAGCTCAAGCTGATTGTTTACATCAAGGAGACAAAGGATTTGGAATAATAGTAATAACTTCAGCCACATATGTAGTTTACAAATTTAAATATTTTCTGACTTGTGGCATTTGACCCTGAATAAGAATATGAATATAGTCGATTTCACATAATCTGTCAGGATCAACACATGTCTGGGAATCTCTATAACTGGATGGATTTTCGTCTTAAGATTAGAGGGGAGCGTGACGCAGTGCTGCATCAGGTAGCCGAAGAATCTCAGGCAGACTTGTTAGGATTAGAAGGAGTTGTTAGCCTGCCCACCTGTTCATCAACCGAAATTAGAAAGGCAATGATCGGCGAATCAAAACGCCAGAGTACCTAAGAGAACAGGTTATTAAACGGTTCTGGCCCAACTCATCTGTCAAGAGCGCAAATAAAGGTTTTTTTTAGGCGATCGGACAGCGGTACTCTTTCTGGTAGAACCCTGGAAAATTTACAATGAAATCTCTAATAGTTGGGCGTTGGAAGACTTACACCAGATACAAATTAAAGTAGAGTTTTGCGCCGCTAAAATGTCACAAAAAACCTACAGTAATTCCCTCCACTTCCTGGATAATTTTTCGTGCGTTGTATCTTTCTTTCCTCTCTTCTCAACTGCAATTGCAACTTTCTCGTCGTTTGTATGCAGAGTATGTATGATTGCAATGGATCTCTGCTGAGGAGGCTAGGAGTCAACATCAAGTGGCAATTCTTTCAACGGCAAAGAGGCGTAAGTAGGCTCTGGTTTAAGAATGTGTTTGAAAACAAATTTGCGTATCCGGCTGTAGCTGAATGTGCAGAGGTGATTGCTTTTATTTGTTGTTTTGAAAAGAAGTTCTCAGACTTATATGAATTCTTCCTCATTTTGGTAAGAATTTTTTAATATCAAAAATTTTTGCAAATTTGAAACGAGTTTTCAAAAAAGGCTAAGCGACCTATAAGAGTCAGGAAACCAAAATGTTTATCTTACTTAGTTTAGTTTTATGTTACCTGATAACTATGGACCACGTGAACCATTTTCGATTATTCCTTTTTATCGGAAAGATGGTACCTCAGGGGTGGTCTCAAAGAAATTTCGTTTAGTTCCGATTATTTGGTCATGAAGAAATTAACGGTACTCTTCAATTTTTATATTTTGTATTTTTGTCACAAAATTACTTGTTAATTTTTATCATTCAAAATTGACATGCGCATATCTTTGTTGAAAATCGTTAAAAAAATAATAAAAAAACACTTAGCCACTCGAAACTTGTACCTCATCGCTTACCTAAAATTTTTCTAAAAATATTGAAAATAATTTTATTTTGGTTATTTTATTTTTTATAAATTTAAACTTTTTCCATTGCAATTTTTTCGTTTTACGGCTTAGCAGGTGTCTTCTACATTTGAATAGCTTTCTTTAAAAAAAATGTATGAAATCGTTTGAAAAATGAAGGTTCTAGAGTTTATTATACACAAGAGCGCAGAGATGAGCACGTCAGAGTCGGAATAGATTTTAGAGGCGCGTAAGAAAAAATACGTATAAAAACAACCCACTTTCTATTTAAACTCGCTATAATAAAAATTTCGTGTTTTGTTGCACTCTGGAAGTGCATAGGTTGAAGCAATTAATTAATGATGTAATTAAAATTATTCTAAGCTTTTAGATTGTATTTTGTATATTGTGGGGTGATTATCTTAAGCAATTTACGTAAATTCAACTATAAGCTAAACTTAGTCGCACAAATCTTATGCACAACTTGAAAAAATCGCACTAAAAATATTTTTATGTAAATCACTTTCAGAGTGTTAATATTTTTAATTATGGGAACTACATTTTCGCTAGTTCAATACCAGTCATAAACATGGCTGCCATGTTTTTACGCTTAAATAAATATGTTAGTATGTTAATAGTAAATGTTTAGTATGTATGCACATTAGAGTGGTCCAATTTTTATGTGGGGGAAAAAAATTTCATCCTAGAAAACGGAACACTCCTTAGTTTTTTCCTTTTGATATTTGTAATACATATGTACACCAATTTTCTATTTTTTACTGTAACCAATACAGGGTGCTCAATGACTTTGAAATGCGCTGCTGGATCGCTGTGAAATTTGCAAAAATATTGGTGATTTTTATAAAATGCTACTGTTGCCATGACAACTGAAGCTTGTAATATTTTTTTAGATAATTTAAATTTGAAATGTTCTTAGATTGCTTAACCAATCGCTTGATTAAGATATGCACACAATACTTCTAGAGTAAAATATGAGCAGCATTTTTGGACCACTCTAATGCACATCGAAAAGTAGTCACAAGTTTTATATAAGTAAGAATAATGATGTGCCACACAAATGTCATGATTTATATGCAAGCGCTTTAGACAATTGTGGGAAAATTTTTGCAAGTTTTTGAAACTGTATGAATTATATTTTTTTTTCGTGCTCAATATGAGTGATTACGCGCCTGCTAGAACTTGTACTTTAATATGGATTTTTTTCCGGCGAAAAAATTTACTGAAACGCGAGCTATTGTTAAAGCAATTGTTTACGCTGCCTTTACTGACATTTAAGGTTATTGTTTTTGGGATTTTGTGCTGCATAGCATTGATTTTTGATATTTGCGTTTAAAATTTTTATTTTTTTTTCGCGAATCCAAATGCAAATTTTTTTATTATGCCTTAGCGTCATCTACTCAAATTACTTGCTGCAGTTAAAGGTAAAACTATTCTTTGTTGCAGGTGTGTGTGTGTGTGTAGTTAGCTGAGTAATTATATGCAAAATATACATACACACATATTTAGCTTTTATGAGCTGGCGCATAAATGCGAGTGAGTGAGTGAGTGAGTGTGCGTTTGGCTTTTGTATGCAGCTAAGCTGCGGTGGGTTTCGTTCGAAGCTTGTGAATATTTGCGGGTTTAAATTTTCTACATGCTTGCAATTTTATTTTAATTGTTTTGTGTTTTTTTTGCCCCCTTTTTTTGTTGAGTCAAAATTGATACTTGAAACGAAGTGGTTGCTTGGCGTTCTCAATTTATTGCTTGCTCAAAAGATAATCTATTTATCATCTGACAGGGAAGTCATTACTGTGATTGGCGGCGGAAAATCAAAGATAGCGCTGCTTGGTCATCTATGTGTAGACACTTTTCAGGCTTCCTTACTAAAATAAAAGCAATGACAGAATCTTGCTTTAGCTCTCAACTCTATACAAGTTTAGGTGCGCGCGTATACACAGGTAATTAAGGCGTCAGCGAGTAATTGGTTTCGGTCATGTATACGCCCTGCTGTACAACTAATTTTCAAGTGTAATTATTTGAAACGAATTCAAGTGCATGAAATCACTTAGTTATGTAGATTTTAAGTGATTTTCTTATTAAATTAATTAAATTGCTGAAATATGTACTAAAACTGGTGCTATACTCGTATGCATTGCCATCTACATATGTATATAAGTTTGTCTGGTTTTCTTGCCTACGCCCACAATCTGACTAAATATAATTAAAAAAATCATTTATACAAAAATTTCAGTGCAATTAAGTTATAATATATGTATGCACTGGGGTGGGCCTTAAAAATAAAATAAAGATTTCCATGGAAATTTTAAATTAAAAAAAGATTAGGGGTCGCTACCAGGGTTTGCAAGTACTAAAAAAAAACTCGCGAAAATTCGACAAAATTAATTTCAACAAATTTAAAGCGAATATGCAGCAAAGTTAGTTTGTCAATTTTATCAAATTACAATGTTTTCAAACCTTGTTAAAATTTTACACTAATATTATACTCGTATGGAAAATTATTCATACAAAATCAATTCGCCAAATGGATTCAGCATGCTGCATGCAATACATGGCAAGCTGCAAGGACTGCAATATGTTTACTTTTTTCGGAGTAAGCGCAGAGTTTTTAAAATTTTTTCTTAAGTTCTATTAGTTCACAAATAATTATATTTGAAAAATACCAAGAAATTCATGTGGTAGGAGAGAGTTAGTATGGACTTCCTGAGCTCAAAACTCACTTCTTTTTTAATGCTTCTCTATGAGCAGGTTTTCGAGGTATGTAAGAGTATTTTAGTGTCTTTCGCGGTGTAATTTAATGTAAAGATTTTTGTTTGCTAAACTGACAAGTTCGATCAAAACATTGAGTAGTTCAAGAAAATACTAGTGAAACGACATACCAACTATTTAAACGCACTTACGGAAATCCCGTTGAATTATAGGTGGGTACAGTAAAAAAAAATGTTTGGAATTTTAGCGATTTGTGTTTTTAAACTTAAATTTTTTCCAACTTTTGGGAGATGCGCCATACAAAATTTAGATGTTGATACTTTAAGTACCACCCTAGTATACATAGTACATATATGCATATGTGCATACAAATGCTCTCATAACTACATACACTAACGAGAGTAAAGTATGATTCAAAAGTTTAATATGTACTGTCGTAGATAATTTAGCTGTCACGTATAGGTCCTGTAGAACGTGATCGAGTAATTAATTACCAGGTTTCAAAATTATTTTAATGCGATCGGATGGGTATGCAAAGTGAACTTGAGTCAATTAAACACATTTACATCCGTACGAACTTAACATACATACATACATACATATTTACATGCATACCTTTGCACACAGTCTCAAATTTAGTTTTGCTTCTAGTAGTCGTAATTTAACCAGCGAATAGAGCTGATCTATTTGAAGTTCTGTTCGGTATAAGCTATTATTTTTAAATTTATAAAATTAGTTAAGTTTGTATTTTTATTTTTTAATCAACGTAATTTGTAATATGAAATCCTATTCACTTTTTGCTGTCCATGTGAGTATTAAATATTTTTGGTGGAAAACCATTTTATATTTGCACTAGAAAAAAAGTTAAAACATGTTAAAAAACCTAATTTTCATTCATACATATATACGTCGGAACATATATCTCGGCATTACGCTGAGTTAGATTTGCCAATAGCTGCCGCTTCAAAAACGCTTTATCTTAATATAAATTCTATATATCGGCGTTTCTGAACCACAAAAAAATTGGTTTTTGGTTGTCTTTTCAAATCGGTGCAGCTAACGTAAATCTTAATATTTCTTTAAAATATTTTTGGCGGATTTTTTTAAGTATAGTAAATTCAACAAAATCCGACGGAAAAATCGCGAGGCATCCTAATGTGCATACATTTTATTAAATGTGTATTTCAATTACCTAGTTAGTGATTTTATTCTTTCATACAAATCCAAAAATAGCAGATGTAATCTCATACAAATAACATCATAAAAACAAATAAATTTCAAAACACACGAAAGAATCGATATACTCACTATGGGTCAAAAATAGTAAAACTGCATTTTTAGTTTCTCAAAGGACTTTGGAATTTTAACGATGTGATTTATTCAAAAAATGATTAAAAAATCAGTGCAATGTAGAATAACAATATGGGTACCAAAATTAGAGAGAAAAATCTGTTGAATTTAAAAACAATAAAGTTTTTTTTTGGTTTATAGGGACGAATAGGTATTGAAAATGCGCTTTTAATAAATTTCCTCTTTTTAGGTTAATAAAGTTTGCAGGACGAAATCAAACAAGAGTTTTTTCAAAAAAAAAAAATTGAAAATTTGCAAGGATATTGAGGACAAATTTTGTAAAGGACATTTTCCATACCCATTCGGCCTTATGCTGCAAAAAATTTATTCTCTTATAATTCTACATAATTTTTTCTTTTATATAATAGCCTTACTGTTATCCTACGTTGCACTGAATTTTTTAAATAATTTTTTGAAATAATCATATTCTTAAATTCCTAAGGCTTTTAAAAAAAAATCCTGACGTATACTATAATTTACCCATAGTTTCGCGGATATATTAATTTTTGTTGTGCAAAATTTACTGTCGCACGGTGTAATCAATCAATTTGCGCTAATGGTATATTATTAATTATTATGTACCTACGTACGGTTAGTGTTTAACACCCATTGGTCATAGACCGATGCTCGAAATTTAGTATTAGTTCTTATAAATAAATCAAAAACGTATTTTAAAATCGTATTTTAAAAACAAATATAATTAAACTCGAATTAATATTTCGATGTTTCATATTAATTATAATACAGCACTGAATAGTGTTTCTATCCGGCAGTAATATGGCAAAGGTGCTAGTCAATATGTGAATTCAATAATACATTCATGTTGATATAAATGATCAGTGTTTAATTAGTTATCCAGAATATAATTGCTTGCAAAAACTAATAAGTTTAAACAAACTCGAATACTGAATTTCAACCAAAAGTGCAAATATGTAGAACATAAGTATGTACGTATGTTTATATGCAGATATTTAGCATCTACTAATTACCGAAAACCCAATAAATCACCTGACTGCTCCGCTGACTGATGTAAGCCCGCTTATTGTTTGGAAGCAGTTGAAAAAATCTCGGACAATGGATATACATACTTAATATAAGTAGAGGAAATATTTAAGAAATGCTTCAATTATATTGGCGAATTACTGTGTAATTTTGTTAGTTTGCAATTTTTGGGCACTGGGGGGATGGGGATCTGATCTTAAGTACTGGGTGATTTGCTTTCTTAGGTGCTAGCGGACTACATAGATAAATAATTCAAAAAATTTGGCAGAAAAAATTAAACTTTTTTAGAAAAAGCCACTTTTTCCGCTTAAGTTTTACAAAACGCATTTTCAATTCTTAATTAAAACTACATATTTCTTAATACGCTCATTTTCATGCTCGTGTGCCACATCCACATGCATACTAGTTACATATGTACATATGGGGCACATATATACATATGCAACATATATATTCCAGCCCAATTCGGACACCATTTGGCTTTTGCCTCTCTGATTTTTTCATACTTTTTCCTTCTATATTACCAATTGAGGCAGCGTAGTACTACAGTATATTTTGCTTAGCTGCACATCCTTCTTTGCACGAAAA